GAACCGTGGCCACCTGACGCATAGAAGGGACCTCTTGCACCAGACATGGGCTTCTGAATATAGAGGGTGTCTCATAGCCCAGAGTGGGGCCTCCCGTGCGAGCAAAAGGGTCTCAGTAACATAACAAAGGGCCTACTACTCCAAAGCATGGACAGTCTTAAACACAAAGATAGCCCTCTGATCCAGAGAATGAGTCTCTTGGTGTAGAAAAAGGCCTCCTGACCCCGATTTTTTTGTTCTCCGGCTCAATAATGGGGTGTCCTTGGCCCGAATTTGGATGATCTACGGGTAGCTATAATGCCTTAAGTTTGGAAAAGGGCCTTCAGATTTTTTTTTGGCGGAGAACATATCCCTGTTCCCCTGCCTCCCCCACCTCCGTCTGCAGCCTCGCCCCTGTGACCTGGTGCCGCGTGTCAGCGTTGGGACGGTGACCCAACGTCGTGCGCCAGGCGTGGCACGTTGACCTGGTGCCGTGTCTGCCGGTGCCTGCCGTCGCCCCGCTCCCCCTGCATCCCCGCTGGCCGTGCAGCCGGCATCACGCCTGGCCGGCGGAGCGGGTGGCGCCCCCTGCCCCAGCCGGCGGCCCGCCGGTCGGCCTCGCTCGGCGCCGCGCCTGGAGGAGCCGGCCGGCGGCGCCGCTTGAGTGAGGTGCCGCCGGTCCGACCACGCGGACAGCGCCGCCCGTCCGCTCTGCTGGACCCGCCAGACCTGGCGCTTCCTCCGGCTCGACCGCAGCCCTCTTGCGGCACAGTGTCCTCTAACAGCCGTGGTGACCGACTGTCGCCCCCTGCGACCTGCGCCTCCGGCTGAGCGCGCTGGCGCTGGAGTGTGAGTGACGCGCGTGAGGTCCCAGTGCCAGACCGGTCTCCGGCGCGGACGCGCGGCCGAGCGGGTCGGTGCGGATGGCGCCGTGCCGGTGACATGCGCGTGTGCGGGTACATCTGCGAGGTGGAGAAGTGCGCGGTCTGCCGGTGGTGCATCGCCGACCCACCGAAGGTAGGTGTCCGCGACAAGGCGGGGCCGCCGGCGCTCAATCTGCCAAGTCCGGTCCGATTCCGTGACGGTGGTTTATGGGAAGAGATGAGGGGAGGCTATCAATTTAAAGCGTTTCGCTTGGTTAATGCCAAACTGAAAAGAGGTGAATCAAACTGAGGAAGAGATGGGGGGGGGGGGGGGGGGGAGGACGGTGGGCTTCCCGCCACTTCTATCCATTTCTGCCGTTTTGTTTTGTTTCTGTTTTTTTTTTTTTTTGCTTTGCATCATCAGTTGTGCTTGATGACGGTGCTAACTTAACTGAAAGCTTGGTTTTGATCCTACGAAGGATGCGATCATCTTTTCTGGTTAGTGGCCATTAGTGATAAGTGGTCTTACCACTTGACATCAACACTTCTATTGTCCAACTAATTCGCGTTAAACATCTCATGATTCCCGCCACGTCACAGATGTGACAAAACGCTCGGACACAAACGCCTCGGGCATAGAGCTGGCGTCCACCTCTCCTTTCACTCGACGAGTCCCGGCGCCGATTTTTTGTGTCGTCGGCGCCGTGCCGGAAGGGCGTCGTTACGCCCCGGCCGGCAGCCCAGCCCCGGAGATAAACTCCGGCACGACAGCCGGTACTCACGCCCGTCGCTGGAGGAGCTCCTGCCGGCCGCGAGCGCGCTGGCTGAGCAGCGGCCGGCGGGCCACACCGCTGACGGGCGGGTGGGTGCTGTCTGGGTGGAGCCAGCTTCAACGGTGTATTTCTGGCTGATCGGGTGGGTTTTATTGAGATCCCGCAAGCCTTTGATCGATGGGCTTCGCCGCGCGTTACAGGACAGGAGCTTAACATCTGCGATGAGATGCCTCGCTGAGAAACAGTGGCTTGCTGGTACGCTGGAAGTGTCTCTGGGTAACGAACTATCTTCAGCGCATCCATAACCGGGCCCGTTATATCAGCAAGGTGTAGCTAATTACTTTTGGATAAGCGCTTACAGCGTTTTTGTTGACTCCTGTTCTGCCTATTCCTCCGACACCCAACCACGACATTGCAGAGCCTCCCGTCCCGCCATCAGCCTTATCTGCATGCTCATCAACGTCCGAAAGTTTACGAACTATGAAAGTGAAAGTACACCCGCCGTGTGCCGCGTCGAAGCAATGAGTCGTGCGGGCGAAGTGCGTCATCTGGTGGATGTCACGCAGCGCCCGTCCAAAAACCTGACCGGCTACCTCTGTCGCCCCTGGCCGAGCGGCTGACGTCTGGAGACGGTCGGCGCGGGATCAGAGCAGTCCAGGGCGCGGTCGGTGCGGGATCAGAGCAGTCCAGGGCGCGGTCGGCGCGGGATCAGAGCAGTCCAGGGCGCGGTCGGTGCGGCGGCGAGAGGACACAGCGGCGCGACGCGCGTGGCGCGGCCCTCGTGCGGCGGAGCAGGGTTCCGCGGTGATGTCGTGACGGTGTCGGCCGGTGTGACGGTCTCCGTGTGAGTGGCGGCGGGAGAGGTACGACATCGTGACGGTCTTCGTGTGATCGGCGGCGGGAGAGGTACGATACCGTGACGGTCTCCGTGTGATCGGCGGCGGGAGAGGTACGACACCGTGACGGTCTCCGTGTGATCGGAGACGGGAGAGGTACGACGCCGTGACGATCTCCGTGTGATCGGAGACGGGAGAGGTACGACGCCGTGACGATCTCCGTGTGATCGGAGACGGGATAGACACGACACCGTGACGGTCTCCGTGGCTGGCGTTTGTTGAGGTATAACAACGTTGTCAGGGATCAGCACTGACAAAGTAGCTTAACTACGAACAGGCGTGAATGCACGTGACCTGACGCTGCCGGGTGGGGAGCACTCAGCGGCACGGGACTGATGCTCCCTACTATTATTTAAGTGTCCGGTACCTTCTGTGACTCTATGACCCCGTAATCCCGGCATTGCATGGCACTATAGCTCTAAAGGCTCTCAGTGATTCGTATCGATTTAGATTTTATTACTCTCTATTCTAATGTCGTGCTGCAGTTCCGTTTGGGGGATCTCAAGTACTCTCGGTACTCCTGGTGCTCGTCTGTTCTCCCCGGTCATGGGCTGACCTGTGTAAGCTTGCTGACGCAAACTGGCGCAGGCTGGCGCAGGCTGGCGTAGGCTGGCGTAGGCTGGCGTAGGCTGGCGCAGGCTGACGTAGGCTGGCGTAGGCTGGCGCAGGCTGGCGTAGGCTGGCGCAGGCTGGCGTAGTCTGGCGTAGGCTGGTGTAGGCTGGCGTGGGCTGGCGTAGTCTGGCGTAGGCTGGCGTAGTCTGGCGTAGGCTGGTGTAGGCTGGCGTAGGCTGGCGTAGGCTGGCGCAGGCTGACGTAGGCTGGTGTAGGCTGGCGCAGGCTGGCGTAGGCTGGCGCAGGCTGGCGTAGGCTGGTGTAGGCTGTCGCAGGCTGGCGCAGGCTGGCGTAGGCTGGCGTAGTCTGGCGTAGGCTGGTGTAGGCTGGCGTGGGCTGGCGTAGGCTGGTGTAGGCTGGCGCAGGCTGGCGCAGGCTGGTATAGGCTGGTGTAGGCTGGCGCAGGCTGACGTAGGCTGGCGTAGGCTGGCGTAGGCTGGCGTAGGCTGGCGTAGGCTGGCGTAGGCTGGCGTAGGCTGACGTAAGCTAGCGCAAGCTGGCGCAAACTGGCGTAGACTGGCGCAGGTTGGCGCAGGCCCGTCCCCAACCCGCGACATACGTAGTCTGGCGCTGCCGTCGCCGTCCCCACCACGCGTGCCGTCGGCCGGGCCAGCCACGCCTGGCGCGGTGCGCGGTGCAGTTCACGCGCTGCCTCTCAGGAGAGGCTGCCGGATGTGCCGGCTCACAGGACGCCCCGCTACAATGGGCGGCGCGCCCGACCGTGCGGAACCCCGGCCGATGCGTGCGCCGATCCCGTCCCCGTCGGCGGCCGGAGGCGCCGCGCTGACACGGGCTGGTCGGGTGTGGGCTGGCGCTGGTTCTCAGTACTGGTGCGCCAGTCTGGGGCAGTCATCCATTCCTGTGAAAAACCATGGCGCTCAGGTTGCGCTCTCTGGTGGTACTTGTGTGGTGTGCGCGCGAGGTGTGCTGAAAACCACGCCGGATGTTTGTCTGCAGAGGTCACTCACGCATCTGCACTAATCCCCCGGGAAAATGCGGCAGCAGCTGTTGCGTGCGTGTCGCTTTGTGCTCGGCTCGTTGCATGGCCGCCGCTTCCGTCGCACTCTCAGTTAGCCGTGATCGCTGCGCTGCGGCGCCACGGGTCGCGGTGGTTCGCGGGCGGGCGGCACTGCTCCGCCGCCCGCAGCCTGGCCCGGACGGGCACGTGTGCTGCCGCCGCGGCCGCCGGGAGTTGTGACGCTCGGCGGTCCCGTCCTGACCGCCCGGGGGTCATTAGTGACGCGCTGGTGCTGTGCCGTGTCAGCGAGATAACCGAGTCACACCTGCCCAAGGCCAGACGTCGGGTCCTGACCTTGTCGGAGTGCCCACCGTGGAGCGTCGGGGAGGGTCGACTGGAGTGTGGGGAGTGGAGGGAGTGCGGAGTGGCAACTGGCGGTGGGGGGCGGGACTTCACGCAGGGCCCGTCGCCTCGTTTTTAACTTGAAGCTGGCGGGACGTCACTTTCCTCGAGACGTTGTGTGGGTGTGTCGTCACTGTTTCGAAAACCCCAGAGAACAAAGTCGAGTGTTGCAGTGAACAGCGCGTCATCGTCATCCACACATAATGGTATGTGCGTGGCATGCAACTCGCGCCGTTTGCCCTTTTTGTCTCGCTGCGCCGCCACCGCACACAATACCACATCCCGGAATGTTTTTACGCCGCAGCTGTGACTCACCCGGGGAATGCTTCAACCCGCATGCAATGAGCCCGTCGGTCTTCAACCGCGCCGACTGCAAAGTCCCGCCGCCGGACAATGCCGCCGCGACCTCGCGCCGCGCGTGTGTCGTGCCGCGCTGGCCGCACTCGGCTGCGTGCCCGGCCGTGCCGCGCCGGCGGGCGGAGCGAGCGAGCGACGCTGACCCCGTGATGCCCGCAGGCGCTGTTCGCGGCCGAGGGTGCTGAGCACGGTCGGAAGCTGTACACGCCGCAGCAGAACGGCACGGACCCGGCCGAGCGACCTCACACGCTCGAGGAGTACTCCATCGACTACTTCAGGTCAGTGGGAGGGCGCAGTGCGCGCCTGCTGAGGCATGACTGGCACGGAGGATCATCTAGAGATATCTGGGATGCTTGGGACCCTGTGTACGCGCGCCAGTGCAAGCACGAATGAAATTTGAGGCGGTCAGCTGGAGTGCAGACTAATGCTATAGTTATCACTGATGAGGCCCTGACGCCGCGTCCCTCTTCGCTGTCTCGGCTTGCTTGTGTTTGGCGACAAGCGCCCGAGTGTTTCATGACGGTCTGACGTAGCTTGGTTGACAGGTAAGCGGATGCATGTGACCGTTGAATATTGCGATGCGCTAATGACGACAGCTGCCGTTGCTTAACCTTGTGATGTTGACGACCTCTCTGGCACTGCTGATGCCTACGTTGCGCTGTTGGATCTAACGTGACGCTGCTGGCTCTAACTTGGCGCTGCTGGTACTAATGTGACGCTGCTGGCTCTAACGTGGCTCTGCTGGTACTAACGTGGCGTCACTGGCACTTACGTGGCGCTGCTGGCTCTAACGTGGCGCTGCTGATCACTAACGTGGCGCTGCTGGCTCTAACGTGGCGCTGCTGGCTCTAACGTGGCGCTACTGGTACTAACGTGGCGCTGCTGGCCGCAGGACTCCCACCAAGCGGACGATGTCGCGCAGTCTGATGAAGTCGGCGACGCGCAGCAACAGGGACGACCTGTGGCGCCACTCCCGGGACCCGCTGAAGCTGCCGCTGCTCAAGAAGCTGCAGAACAAGGAGGAGCTGTCGCAAGAGGCCTGCGCCGCCTTCACCGCCATCCTCAAGTACATGGGTGACCTACCCAGCAAGCGCATGCGCAATGGCAACGAGCTCACGGACGCCATCTTTGACGGACCGCTGAAGCATGTGAGTGACACAGGGGGCTGGCACGAGAGAGGCTGCTAAGGTCGGAAAAGGTCCGATGGTGGGTCACGTCTTCGTGGTTTGTCTTGCGAGAGAACTGCTCGCGACGGCGTGCCCGCTCCCCGCGGCAATCTATCCGTCGCGTGCCGTGCCATTTGAAGGCTGAGCTAATGGACGAGTTCTGCATTAGTCTGCGGCGGTGTTTCTGCGGTGTTCGGGGTGATAGCGGGCTGTCCGTGCGGCGCGGCTGTGTTATGATGTGAGGCCACGGTTCCGAGGTGGTCCGCTGTGACGTCTGTGGTCGGTTGATCCCGGCAGGAGATTCTGCGGGACGAGATCTACTGCCAGATCATGAAACAGCTGACGGACAACCGGAGTCGCCTGAGCGAGGAGCGGGGCCTGGAGCTGATGTGGCTTGCCACGGGGCTGTTCGCCTGCAGCCAGACACTGCTCAAGGTCAGTGGGGCGCGTCTGCGCCGAAGCTGGCGCGCCGAGGGCTGGGTTGCGTCTGGGGAGCACTCCATCCACATTCACGCCCACCCAGAGCGTCCACTCTGGGGTCACCGGCGATCAGGTCATTCTGACAACGGCCGCTGCTTTTAGAGCAATGTTGTCGCCTTTTGTTCTTCATTCATCAAAATGTATGTTTTATTTATTTTTCCCTTCATCTGTGTTCTTTTTGTCTCCTTTTTATATTTGGAAGCCCGCCGCTCACTCTTCCCCACGACCTGCTGCCCTCTCGTGGCGTCCGCTCCCTTGTGCCCCAGCCGCTGTCGCGGGCCTGCGACTGCGAGCGTCAGGTGACGCCGCCTCTGACCCAGCGTCCGGTCCGCTGGACGGCGCTGCGAGTGTAATTACGCACCAGCAGGTGCGCCATCGCGTCGCTTCGTGCCTGATTCTGGACTTCCGAGAATGAAACAACCAGTGACAAAGTCACGCATACGTGGATGGTATATCGGGAAAGCATTCTGGGAAGGACATACCGTTTGATAGATAATAACTAACTACAGTGGAGCTACTCATTCACACTAAGGGCATCTATCTATCCTTCAATTCCTTTTACAGTCGCTGCAATATAGGTTTTGCAGTATGAAGAATATCATCATACCCTGCAGGCTCTTGATCCTTAAATATAGAAGCTGAGTGGGTCGAATTTAAATTACAAGTCGAGGAAAAGCTGTCCGTGAAGGGGCAGTCAGGTTTGTTCGCCGGGGAACACATTTGCTAAAGCCATGTTCGGAACGGGCATGATCAACTACAAACAGAACTAAGACCGTGGCGGCAGGATACTCGACCGTTTTACACACCTCCACCATCTTAGCAATTTCCACGTACAAGCATGGATTGCCCTGTGACGAGCTCGACATGCAGTAATGGGCTGCGACACCAGCGCGTCCCGAAGCGGCGTGAGTAGCCTGGGATAATGCTGTTGGTCGATCATGCATCGAGGCAGGACCTACCATTGTCAGTGTCGCAGCCACTCACTCCGGTTGGCACGACAGACCCGTGAAACCAGCAGGGTATGGGATTCGAACGCAGGTCAACACGAACCCGATGAGGTACTAAGTGCATCTACGCACACCCAGTTGAGTCATTTCAGCACCTGGATCAGTTCATTTGGGAAGAAATGTCGGCAGACTCAACGTGTAAAGACAAGCGAAGTTCTTATGCTACGCCGAGACAAGATGCCCTCGTAGAGCAATGTATTATCGGAACTCTACGCCGTGATAACGCAAACAGAGAGATAAATCAAGACCGTAGTGAATCCGGGAACCGCCTACCATGCGGTTCGGGCGGCATCTCATCCACCGGTATCGGAAGCCCTAATTTCCACCTGATTTCCATCTCGGCCTCGGCGCTCCACGGCCCTCTCCAGCGGTGGACGGCGGCCGCGAGTCCATCTACGTCCACCGCACAGCCGGTTCACTGGTCGTCGTCCATTTGCGCCTCCGAGCAGGAGACAAGGGCGTGTTTTTCGGCGCTGACACTAGCAGAAGCGCCATTTTTGGCGCATCAACAGCTGGCGCGAGACACCGTCGCGACGGCCGGGGAGGGGGGGGGGGGGGGGGGAGACATCGCAGCGTGCTCGGGCGGGAGGCGTCTTGAACCAGAGACCTCGCTTTGAGTTTTTCCCGCGATATGCGACAGGTGTGCGGCAGTTGTGTTAGAGCTGAAAAGGTCGACATTGTAATCATTGTAATCTCACTTGTTTTGGCAGCCTAGTCATCGTCATGACAAGACAAAACGGCATTACATGACATAATTTTAGACAATTTTGCTCTGCTTTTTTCTGGCCACGTGACCCAGGCGGCGCAGTTCACGTGTGATGTAAACAGAGGTCGCGAATTATGTACACAACGTTCGTCAAGTATGCCTATAGCCAGAAGTGTTGGCCAAGATACTGCCCCCCCCCCCCCCCTGGCGGCAGGTCCTCCCCCAATGCTGACTTGAACCTTCTTCCTCCCAATGCCCCTATGAGCCCCCTCAATGCAAATGAGCAAAAAGGAATGCAGGTACAAATGCATACATGCAGAACAAAATACGGAACAAATATTTTCTCCTGTCTGACTTTGTTTCCCGACTTTCTCATTAGCGGCGCATCGTCGGTTGCAGAAACTCACGAGCATCGAGCTCAGAAACAAGATAATCTTGGCATTTAAAGGCCAGGGCCGCAGGCTGCAGGCCATGATCATGAAAATGGCTACATCAGTTCAAAACCGCGTACAGGTGTGCAACAGTCTTATGAGCGTATCGCAGAACTCGACACGGTCCCCCTGCCCCCTGGTGCTACCCGACGGTAGCGCGGCCGCTGCCACCGGCCGCAGGCTATGCCAGTCGGGGACAAATAGCGAACGCCGGAAGCGACTTGAATGCGACCTGCCACACGCCTGCAAATCGGAAGGCAGACGCTTTTACCAGATGAGCCATCGGGATGGACGAAAGGATGTTCTTTGGGGGGCGGGACGATTTAATCGAATCAAAATAAAAAGGTGCGAGGGAATCAAATGAAGTATTCTGTGCGGTGTGTTCTAAGGTAAATAGCGGGGTGGTGTCGATGGACGTTTGTGAAAAAATTTGACCTTGAGTGCAGCTTTGAAACGCCAAGTTTCCTCAATACACAGTTTGTAAAACGTCGTTCAACCACTACCTCCCAGTAACCTGAATGTCAGTTATTTTGAACAACTCCAAACTCAACACCAAGATTTCAGGCCTTTCTTGCCTATATCAACTTACAACACGTAACAAAGCGTTGGCCACGCTACTTTTTGAGATGGCCATTTTGGGACCCATTTACCAATCTTTACGTACTCTGTTCTTCCAGTTACCGACTTGTCTTTTAAAATGGTCGTGCAAATTCAGTTTTACTTTTGTATGCAGATTCATCATGGGATTATATTCGCAAATTGTCCCCAGGTTCTCATCTGGACGTATCAGACCACGCCATTCTACATGACTCCGTCTTTGTTTGCGTCTGGCCATCTTCGATGAATGATGAACAGTTGGGTTGTTTGGATTACAGCCCTTTCGATCAGTAACGATCATTTCAGGGCTAGACGATTTAATTCACGATGAGGGCTTTGGCGAGTTGCATGTCAACATCGAGGATCAACCTAAACTGGCCGAAATATGACGAGAAATCAGGTTTTGAGGGTGGGTCAGGTCAACCTTATCGGCTCAGCCCTACCCAAAGTGATTTTGCAAATTAACACCCTTCCTGTAGTCCACAAAGGTAGCCGTTCTCACACGACCTGCCTGAACACTTCAGACTATAACTCCATTATAATTGCTCTAATGATAGCAGTCTGTTTGAGGGCGCCAAGTAATTCAATAACAATGTATTTTTTTCAAGATCGCATGACAAGAAGTTTGAATTAGCATCTCAGCCTACTTATGATCCACAAGGAAGCTCTACTTGTTTTAAAATCCAGTTTTTTTTTAGAAAGCCGTCCGTGATTTTTGTTGACCGAAATCTGACAAGTAACCGGCCGGAGATGCCTATGTCTATCACTCGGCCGTCGTTGATGCGATCAGCCCGAAAGCTGCACAGTTCGACCCAGTATCTGACAAGATGACTTCATACTGACCCCATATTCTGACATGGACTCGCCCTACGCTCGGCAGGAGCTGACCCAGTTCCTGCGCACGCGCCGGCACCCGATCGCCATCGACTCGCTGCACCGGCTGCAGAAGACCCTGAAGACCGGCCAGCGCAAGTACCCGCCGCACCAGGTCGAGGTGGAGGCCATCCAGCACAAGACCACCCAGATCTTCCACAAGGTCTACTTCCCGGACGACACGGACGAGGTAACTTGGCGGCTTCCGGCCGAAATGATGTGGGTTCGAACCTGGCTGTTGGCTGGAGTTTCACCGTCCCCGCGTTTTATGCTGTACCGGATGCCTTGCAGTCAGGAATAACGGACTGGGTTGAGCACGGAGCCGTGAGCATATGGTGCAGAAATCACCACCGTCGCAGCTCACGCAATAGTTCGCCGTTCGTATAAAACTGAACATGAACGTTTCTTGTTCTGTCTGCAGCTGGGCATCACGACCCACTAATTCCCCAATATATCAATCACCCGGAAAAACAAATCAACTTTTGGACGCAGAGAGCAGTTTCGGCACAGGATAATCATTTAGCAATGTGCTCAGCCTTCCCCTGTGTGGGGAAGGAAATCCCTGACACGTTTGTATCATGTTCCTCTCAGGCGTTCGAAGTGGACTCGTCCACCAGAGCCAAGGACTTCTGCCACAACATCGCCCAGCGGCTGAACCTCAAGTCCAGCGAGGGCTTCAGCCTTTTCGTGAAGATCGCCGACAAAGTCATCTCAGTGCCGGAGGGTGACTTCTTCTTCGACTTCGTGCGGCACCTCACCGACTGGATCAAGAAGGCCAAGCCGTCCCGGGACGGTAGGGCGCTGTGACGTCACTGGTGATAGATACCGTCTTCCGCTGGCAAGAGGGGGGGGGGGGAGTACATTTGGCGGGGGTGGGGATTGCGGGATGGGGTGTGGCGACGCTCGTGTTCCCAGTAAGACGTTTTTCGCGACGTGGGACGAACGAGGTGGTAGCAGATGGGATTACTATCGTCTAGTAGATGATTTCGAAATGCAGATCAGTGGAGCTCGGTGCCAGCGCGAACCTAAGCAAACAAACCCTCACAATGTATGGGAGTATTTTCCCTAGATGTGCTTACTTATATACATAGCACATATATACTTATGTATGCCAAGACGTACTGTCGCCGATAATTGAACATGTCTTGCCCTGGTTTCTCGCGATTGGGAAAACATCCGCTTCCCATGTTATTCGAATTGGGTAGTGAAATTACGGTGATAATGCAAGGTTCTGGAAGTAAACCGCGCGATCAAACAACTTTCATTGAAGTACTTTTGCACAATTTCACGACCAATGCTAAACAAATATCTTTGCCACTTGTCGATGACACCTTCGTAACGTCACGATTAGCGGTGGCGAAGATGTAATGCCGTCAGCAGCGTGCCGGCCCGGACTGGCGGAGCCGCTGCAGCTACACAGCGTGCGGTAATCTGGGTCAAAATCACCCGGCTGACGGCCACTTTGTGACGGCTCTCGCTCTTCTTGTCTACTGACGGGACTCTACGCCGTGATAGTCCGATACGCTCCCATGGAAAGGATCGCGGGTGATCGGGTCGTGCGATCTGTTTCGCGGTTCCGGGGTGCGAATGTTTCGGCGAAGTGTTACGCGTGAGTCAATTATCAAGCCTTGGTAAATGCAGATCTCCGTTTACGTAAAGCTATGGCTACGCATAGCCGCTCCCATTGTGGCCAAACGATGACGCTGAGCATTGATTTGCAGGGACGATACCACAGTTCACATACCAGGTGTTCTTCATGAAGAAACTGTGGACCAATACAGTGCCCGGGAAGGACAAGAACGCCGATATCATCTTCCACTTTCACCAGGAACTGCCAAAGCTCTTGAGAGGTATTGACTACGAGGGCTTCGAGCTGGGCCGGTCATGAACTAATTCTATCTATACAGACCGAGGCAAGAAATTCGCTGATTATGCCCTTTTGGTGTGACGACGGATACCAACCAGCAACATTATGCACGCTGATAAAATTGCGCGTGTATGCAAGGTTTAGTTACGCTCTCTGGGAACAGATGTGACGGATTGGGGCGGCATTTCCCGTCTTGGCAGCCCGTGCATCGGCTGGCCGCGCCGGTGGCGCCTCTGACGTCAGCTGGCCGCGCCGGTGGCGCCTCTGACGTCGACCGCCGCCTGCCGCAGGGTACCACAAGTGCAGCCGGGAGGAGGCGGCCCGCCTGGCGGCGCTCATCTACCGCGTCCGCTACGGCGAGAGCAAGCAGGAGCTGCAGGCCATCCCGCAGCTGCTGCGCGAACTGGTGCCGGCCGACCTGGCCAAGGGGCACAGCAGCGGCGACTGGAAGCGCAGCATCGTGGCCGCCTATAACCAGGACGCCGGTCCGTACCCCGCTGCCGGCGGCGCGCGGTCCGCCCGGCCCTGCGCCGGCTGGTCCGCTCTTGATCGGGGCTGTCCACGGGCTGGGAATGAATGTCAAGCGTGTGCATGTGTTCCGCTCTTGGCAGCGCCAGAACTATGAGGCATCGCTCGGAATAGTGTCAGCATTAGCTGATCATCGATCGCGTTCGTCAATTTTAGTGCCCGCGTTTTAGCGCAAATATCAAGTGTCCTTTTCGTTTGCCCTTTCCAAGCGTTCGGCGAACGTGGATTGCAACGGCTGGACGCGTTCCTTTTTACAAATGACGCATTGTTTTGGCTCCATCGATGTGATACACGTTGTCGAACACGTACACGTTGTCGAACAATATGCAATATTCCTTGTCTTGTTTTTTCTATTGAAAATGCCCATTACCCGTCTTGAGACAGGCTCTGTGTAGATAGTACCCAGGATTCGACGGCCGCCCAAATGTTTCAGGAATGAGTCCTGAGGACGCCAAGGTGACCTTCTTGAAGATCATCTACCGGTGGCCGACGTTCGGATCGGCGTTCTTTGACGTCAAACAGACGACCGACCCCAACTACCCGGAGCACCTGCTGATCGCCATCAACAAGCAGGGCGTCAGCCTCATACACCCGCAGACCAAGGTACGTCACTCCGTATCCGCAGACAGGGGCATGTCGGTCTCATTCAGCGGCAGGCCAGACCAAGGTACGTCGCTCCGCATCCGCAGACAAGGGCGTGATGGTCTCATGCAGCCGCAGGTCAGACCAAGGTACGTCGCTCCACATCCGCAAACAAGGGCATGTCGGTCTCATGCAGCCGCAGGCCGGGATTCTTCGGTCCGCTACACCCGTCTGTACGTCAGTCCTGTACTATCGCAAGGCCAAGGTTCGTTAATCCCCTCTGCCCGCGGGATATGAGCAGGCGAAGGCACTTCCGTTCCATGGCGTCGTACGCCACACAGTCATTGCAGTCGGCGCACCCTAAAACCCCAATCATCCATCATCAATCCTTCACACCCTGTGAACCAAGGAACGTCTGTGTTTTCACAGGTAGACCGATGTGCGTTAGTCTCATGCACACGCCGATCACGGTGCTTCAATCTCACTCGCACGCAGACCCAGTTAAACCCGTATTATACCCCGGAACAGTGGTGTAGTTAGGGGGGGGGGGGGGCGATGCCCAAGGGGCTTCCCCTCTCGCCCCGTCATACTTGAGGGCAGTTTTTCACCTAACATCACGACACTAAATTACACTAACATCTAGCTGGGTAACCAACTAGCTACTAATTGACAACACTAACATCGAAAGCGCGTCGATACGCTAGGCACTGCACCTATTACCGTTTGTGGGGGTCCCTTAGTCTGTTCGCGACGCTTAGGTTCCTTGAATGGGGCTGTAACTCGATCCGTGAAATGCAGCTCCCCTATCGCAAATCAATGTAGCTGGCTGTGCCCCTGCGCAGGAAGACTAAGGTGTATACATCACTTGTCTGCACACCGGAGGTGCGTTGATCTTGTATCAGGCTGATTTAACGACATCACTCAGCAAACCCGAACACTGTTCCCCGCAATTGGCATCGGGAGACGTGATTATCAAGGCGCTGTTGTTGAATGGCGAATAAAAACGACGAGCCATATAGCACGCACTATGTCCATATACTATCCACGTAGAGCGCGCGAACGAATGGCTGCGAATTTATCCCACTGTTCCTGGCTGTCACCCCGGTACCGCTTCTGCACCTCATCCTCCACCCCTGAAGATGGCCGCCTGCCCCTGTCTGTCTTGCGTTCCCGTGCGGGTAGTCCCGCCCTGCTCGACGCGTGTTAGCTCCTACGGCGATCTATCCATCATCGTCACCATCTCCGCCTCCAGCATCTCTCGGGTGGCTTCAGTGAGACCATGACCTTACGCTCTTTTGGGTGGACTCGCCTATGGCCACTTGTGGTCCTGGCGATCAAAGGACGTGCAGCAAGTGGAAGGGAAAGGGGAGAATGCTTGTCTTCTTCAGCCACGTGCGATTATTCGATGGGCTTAACCCACAAGTGACAATCAACAGCGCGTTTTCACTTGGCGTGAGACATTCATCGACCTGAAACCAAGGACCTGTCCCCCACTCCTGTCTATCGTTGACATTTATAGTCTCTCACACATGGTAAAAGTGCTGAGTTCTTTGACGTTTCTCTGCCATGTGGTTGAGATAATTGTCATGCTTAGCGATGGCATACTTTGACTTCATCACAGAAACAGGGACAATCTGCAACCGTAAGGGTTTTGATAGGTCTCTTAAGAAAGTAAAACTAATATGCAAAACCTCTTCATAAAAAGTATTCCCCAAAAATACATTTTAACACAAGGTGGGGACCTGTCTATGGAGACACCTTGATGGATGAAATGAAAAAAAATAATATTCTGATCCCGCTGACTCGCATCAAATGCATTTGTTGGAGTTATTTGATGTACTCAGCCGAGCGCCGCCATTTTCCGGCTTCTTCAGGACGGCGGTAACCGGAACAAACGATGAATCAATAAGCAACGATGACCAAGAGAAAGTTGACACACTTGCCCCACAGCACCGGGACAGCGACAAAGAAACACAGATAATCCGTGTCATGTTTAGCTCGTCGCGAGGATATGTACGCAGCTAACACAAGCGCGATTACAGGCGAATTGACGCCACTCGTACACAGATCTCTCACACATGCGACACATCTGGCAGAGTTTCCGGGCCATCAACAACAAGCTTAAAGCGGGTATTTGAACGCTGGGACACGTTTCTCGCGGGGGTCGCTGCGGTGCACTTCCCTCCCCCCTCCCGAGTCGGGGGGGGGGGGGGAGAAGGGGGAGTGACGAGTCACGACGCTGCCAGCCATTGTGCCAGCTTCTCCTCAGCGACGGCAAACAGATACTTGCACCAGGCGTTTCCCTCAAAATGATTAGTTTTTGATTGTATTTTTCAGTAATTGTTTTAGTTATTAGTGTGAACCCTTTTAATTTCATGGATTTATGGGATCCGTGTACACTCCAAGCAGTTTCTGTTTGGTAAACGCTAACTTTATCATTCGGTCGTAAAATTCCAGGTCAACGGCAGCCTTTATGGCAAAGGCTTAACGTTCTATAATGTTCGGCACGGTCCGTTTTGCGTTCAGACGTCACCACCTAAAGTGCGGCCGATGGCATCGACCGCGGGCGATCTCAGTCAGGGGTGAATAACGATCGCCGAAACAGACTCACACCTGCCTAGCCACGGGTGCATGAATTGGAAGGCAGGCGCTCCCACCGACTGAGGCACGGAGGCGGACAAGACAAGCGTGTCATGCCATGGTTGTCCTCCCGGAGGCCCAGATTGGCGACGGCTGATGGGCCGGCTACGTGTCGGGGGCAGGCGCCGCGCGGCCTCGCTCACCGCCATACGGGCCTACGATGCGGAGCTGTGGAGCGCCCAGAGAGTGGGTGATTAGGCGGAGGTCAGGGAAGGACGCGGGTCTGTTTGCCGCACATTTGCGTGTGTGCGCTGGTTGCGTGCGCACCGCGCAGCCATCATTGCATCGATACTGTGGTTGAGACACTTAAGCTGACACATCCCACACTCTGCTGGTTTATCTGGGTCTCTCGTGTGAACCGGCGTGAGTTGCTGGGAGTCTAACTGACGTTTAGCGACTCTGCACGCCATCCAGACGTATGTCTGACTGTCGGTTTGTCTCTTTATTTCAGGATGTACTGGTGACGCAACCCTTCACCCGCATCTCCAACTGGTCGTCGGGCAACACATACTTCCACATGACCATAGGTAGGGTGATGATGGGTCTCTTGGAGCGGTGCAAGACCATCACCAAGTTTTTAGTACCGTTTGTGCCGTGCAATATCCGGGCCTTAGTGTTCCTCGCTCGTGGGTTTCACGTTGATTATATGTTGTCATTTCTGTACATAGTCTGAAACGACCAAGTTTGGCTGCTGAACATTCCCCCCACCCGAATTTTAATCTACGCTAGACCGCTTAGTGCACATAGGAATAGATTAACAGTTTGTGGCATTAGAAAAAGAAATCGTTTGTGACTGTAAAGGAACCACTGCCCTGGATGCAGCTGTTCCAACATGAATAACATCTTTGTAGCCGGTGTGTGGATTTGCTTATGCTGAAGCTATCCCCATCTACAGACGCGCCAGTTTATCACTAAATGTGAGAATGGTAGCGGCATTGCTATGCATGTCGTCATTTTACCGTCACCCCATCACTTCATAAAGCATGACGTGTCCCGTCTGGAGCAAGGCATGCCATGATGCGGTGGCGCGATGGGCCTAACGCAGACGCTTACAAGTGCTCTCTGTCAATAAACGGATATGCACGCGTGACAGCCGGACCCGAATACTTGGTCAAAATCGAGGTATTTGTTGGCACCTCACTGCTCGCGCTTTGAATATTGCAGATGATGTGGTGGGAGGTATCGCGAGAGCCTTCCGCCTCACGCTGACATGGGAGCCAAGCAGCTGGATACAGGCGTCTCGATTACCGGCTTATAGTCGGGCGCCGCCCCTGGTTAGCGGGTATCGCGTACGCGCCTCGTGGCCCGTTTTTTTTTTGTCGTTGTTGTCGGCTACGTTGTCGGCCACGCGCGCGCTCCTTCTCCCTAGATGATTTATTCAACGCCACGGTAGGTAACAGGCGCAGTGCCGTTCGCCTGTCGGGCTGACCTGTCCACACGCTGTCCCCAGGCAACCTCGTGCGCGGCTCCAAACTGCTGTGCGAGACCTCACTCGGCTACAAGATGGACGACCTGCTGACCTCGTACATCTCGCTGATGCTGAACAACATGAATAGGCACAAGAGTCTGTCGCGGGTGAAGTGAGCGCCAGGCGCCGCTCGCGAGGGTGTCATTCGTGGCGCAGCTGACGGCGCGCCGGTCACGTGCCGCGCAGGCGCGCCCGCCGGGCCGGTCACGTGGTGCGCAGCCCCGCGCACGCGCCCGCTCGGCCGGCACTGCATTGTTGATCATGCCGTTATTGTTTTACATCGATGATTGAATATGATCGGGTGGGGTCGCCCAATGTGCCGCTCACTCTGCCCCCGCACGGCTGCGTGTCTGCGGATCAGTTTGGAAGGGACGCAATAGCATGGCGAGGTGCTGACGGGAAGACCACACGATCCCCTAGGCCGGGAGAGAGCGGGAGCCAGTCCGAGTGTTAGCTGACCCATGCTAGGTTGTCGTGAAAGGCGGCGTGTATTATTTAACGCAGGTTGGTGGGCGCCTTCCTTGATGTTTTTACTCTGACAACCCTACCATTTCTGGCGTCGCTAAGTGTTTGACCTTCGCCTACCAAGGGAGAAGTGGTGGCATGTAGCTGCGAGGGTAAACCTGGTGTGTCCCAGATGTGCTGTTGTGTTCATGGACTGCGGCCCTCCATATGCTTCTGCAAATGTGCAGGAAGCATTCCAGATTTGTAGTGTGAGGTTCTTGCCTCTAGCCTGTCGTGCTTGAGTCTGTTTTTCCTTCGCCAACGAGGGACGTTGCTGCGAACGATTTGATTGGATGATACACTCCTTGTGCGTACTTGTTGAGATTCTGGAACCCGATATTTTAAATCGCGAAAACTGTGCGAATGACAGCCATGCAACTGCAGTAAACATCGTGAACTGGTTGCTCTGGGTGGTTGTAACCCGTATAGCTTAATGACGCGGTTAATGTGCACACTCCGGGGTATGCTAGCCGCAAAGATATGGACCCAAACAATCCATTGCCAGGTAACAATGAGCACCGTACGCCCGTGTACTCTTATGAAAATAAAATGCATTATTGAGGCGGATGCAGTACACCGTGAGGAAGCAGCCGTGAGACGCGGCTGGTGTAGTGCAGGGTGCTGTGTAGTGTACTACCCTACACTGCTGGTGCAGTACGGGGAAGCCGCCGTGAGACACGGCTGGTGCAGTACATAATGGGGAAGCCGCCGTGAGACACGGCTGGTGCAGTGTACAATATGGAGTAGTCGCCGTGAGACACGGCTGGTGCAGTACACAGTGGGGAAGACGCCGTGAGACACGGCTGGTGCAATGTGCAGTGCGGAGAAGCCGCCGAGAAACATGGTTGGTGCAGTACGCAGTGGGGAAGCCGCCGTGAGACACGGCTGGTGCAGTGTAAAATATGGAGTAGTCGCCGTGAGGCACGGCTGGTGCAGTACACAGTGGGGAAGACGCCGTGAGACACGGCTGGTGCAGTGTAAAATATGGAGTAGTCGTCGTAAAACACGGCTGGTGCAGTGCACAGTGTGGGGCAGCCGCAGTGAGACATGGCTGGTGCAGTGCACAGTGTGGGGCAGCCGCCGTGAGACACGGTTGGTGCAGTGCACAGTGTGGGGCAGCCACCGTGAGGCATGGCTGGTGCAGTGCACAGTGTGGGGCAGCCGCCGTGAGACACGGCTGGTGCAGTGCACAGTGTGGGGCAGCCGCCGTGAGACATGGCTGGTGCAGTGCACAGTGTGGGGCAGCCGCCGTGAGACACGGCTGGTGCAGCGCACAGTGTGGGGCAGCCGCCGTGAGACACGGCTGGTGCAGTGAACAGTGTGGGGCGGCCACCGTGAGGCGTGACTGGTGCAGTGCACAGTGTGGGGCAGCCGCCGTGAGACACGGCTGGTGCAGTGCACAGTGTGGGGCAGCCGCCGTGAGACATACCACAACCTGTTGAAGGCGCAGCTGTTGCTCGCTGCGGCGATGAGCATCCATCGTGGTCACATCGCCGCTTGTGACGTCTTATCGCGGATTGTCGTCGAATTACAGGGCTGACGCTAGCCAAGTTCTTGGGCATATGGATCCATCATTGAGTCTACGACGCGCTTGAAGAGTGCTAGGGCTCTGAAAGAAAAAAGTGAGTCAATGTGGGGAGGGGTACGATTTTTCCGGATGTCAGTTTTGTGCTACATGGCAAATGGTAGCTACAAGTGTTTGCAAGCTTGCTTCGTTAAGCGACGACATTGAATCCGTGCCAACGCTTGAAAAGGATCGTTGCGTTGTGGAGATGCTTTATGTTCGCATTATTTATATATTTTTCGGCATTCTTCGTACAATTTCCCAGTCGAAGTAATCTCTGGCTACCGAGATACCCGGCAAGAACCGGAGAATGTTGTGATCAAGTGTTGAACGACGGGGATTTACGGCGATATGGGGGCGACAAACTCCATCTGCATGCCAGGTTTCCATGTGGTAACATGGGATGAATCGCCTACAACTGCCTTCATCATACGAGTGTGCTGGGAGGTGCTGTTTCAAAATCCTTAAGAACTCCATTTTGTCTGCATCAGGAAATGACTAGGGAATTGGTGGAGATAACTTGAGGAAAACTGACAGGGACGACGTTTATTACAACCTGATACAAACGTTGGTATAGTGTTTTCCGATCCCTTTTCATTTCGTCATGCGGTAAAGTTGTTGGGGCAGCAAACAGTTGCCCGAAATGTCCCAAACAACCATTTTAAATAGTAAATTGCCGATCCCAGTAGTCTCCTTGCTAGAACGAAACCAGGCGCATTATTTCATGCATGGTATGCTCTTACGGTGGATGTGAGTGTAGAGCGTAAATATGAATTCACAAAGCATATCACCATGCGTTGCAAGAGATGATGTGGCTCAGGGAAGTTTAAAATTTATTAGAGAATGATCTGACTAACGCTGAATTGAGTTAAACCTAAACAGACATCCCTTGACGCTTGGCCATCTTTGCCATACTATCTTTGTAATCCCAATTAGAAACTCGATGCTCGATTCCAATTCAGGTATCGTCCTCCTCCTATTGATGAAGACGAACGCCTCTTTCGTTTCGAGCCGGCTTCAAACCAAGCGACTCAAATTACACGTGATACGGAGGTTTGTAGCTGATCGACGACCTAGGGGATGTGTGAGAAATTTTACGCCATTTGCGACGCACTCAATCACGTGAAAAAGCCAACTTCATCGTTTCCAGGTGAGAAAAACCAGGGCAACGATTACGCTCAAACGTGCCTGGTCCGACGCTGAAATCCTGAGACACTAGAGCGTGGAAAGTGCCTAGGGCAAATGGCTGGTTAGAAGCAGCTTGAGTGTACAACTGCTGTTAAGGACTTCCGATGCTGAGGACTCGATGATTCCTAACCCACATTTCTCTTGAATGTCAGATAGGGCTGATTTGTATCGCGTTATCGTGAAAAGTCGCGACGCGTCCTCTCATGTGTCAAACTTACCCGCAATAGCGCTGCAAGCTGTCATGTCTTACATCCTTCAACAGGTGCACCGGAAGGCCGGTCAGAAATGGCCCGCCCTGGAGGGCGCAGGAATAGTTAAAGCACCCCTTTGCAATGCTAGTTTACACCAGAGTTGCAGCCACGACCTCTGCAGAAAATAACGCCAGGATGGTCATCCCTCGCACGCTGGGCCACGGCTATACGCCGGACAGTTTACCTTTAAGCAATATGACCGACCGCCCATCTGTGTCGGCCGGTCACAGCCGCAGGCCTATCGCAATCAATTGTGTTTGATATTTGATACCTACGAGGTCAAATGTCCAACAGTGAGATGCGCAATGAAAGAAGTAGGGGCTTGCATGCATATTATTGCTGACATTCGAGGTCAGACGTGGTCATATTTAACTCTAGACAATTATATGAAAAATGAGGTAAATCGAGTGTTGTCGGAGGCTCAGTGTTTTGAAATGACGTTTATGTTTCCTTGCTATATATCTACTAAACTAAACCACTAGGCTAAACAACGTCGGACTGCAAATTTGCTTCAGGAGTCATCAGAGTGACAGCGAGACCATGGCCATATGTAAATTGGGTCGTTCGATATATGTACACACACACACACACACACACACACACACACACACACACACACACACACACACACACACACACACACACACACACACACACACACACACACACACACACACACACACAACACACACACACACACACACACACACGCACGCGCACGCGCACGCGCACGCGCACGCGCACGCGCACGCGCACGCGCACGCGCACGCGCACGCACACACGCACACACGCACACACGCACACACGCACACACGCACACACGCACACACGCACACACGCACACACGCACACACGCACACACGCACACACGCACACACACACGTGTGTGTGTGTGTGTGTGTGTGTATATGTGTGTATGTATCTCAGTCTTAATACGATAAAGTTGGTTCACTAAGCAGTGCTTTTCCCACATGTTGCTCTTGGCCTAAGTATCGAATGAACGAAGGTCACGGGTCGCCACGTTGTTACAAGGGGTGTTAGTTGAGAGCAGACAAATCGCCGTAAGCGAGACAGCCCTAATAACTTTTCTGTTTTTCAGCATCCTATAGTCCGTTGAAGACTTGTAAGCCAGTAGATACATATTTTAGCCTTCAAGTTGCCAACATCAAAAGAGCCAGTTTTCTTAGAGCATAAGCAAGCTACGGTCTAGTAGAACAACTAAACCATTAAAACTGCGTGTTAACCATGATAAATCGCCACAGCTGCTGCAAGCTTTTTGTCTGCATGTCATCGTGCAGGGCGATAAGGCAAATTATGAATATCTACGCACAGTGTGGCGCTATTAGCGGTGCACGCATCCTCAGGAGCATCCACGGCAGAAAATTTGAATGAATCGGCAGCGGCGGCCCACTCCATCCCAATTAGAAACTTGATGTTCGGCTCTACTTCAATGGATCATGTCTGATATCCCACGCCTCAATCGCCTTAAACGCCATGTAATCACCAAATTATCCCTTAGCATGTTAACGTCACTGCATTCGGGGGTTTCCTCCCAGACGCGATCGTCAAAGACATGAGGCAAACACGAAAAGACAGTCTCGTTGTTAGATAAACTGGTTACAAAGTCCTGTGGGTGGTAAGTTCTATTTTTGCGCGATAAGCTGGCACAAGCGCTTTTGACGGTGTAAATGGGTGTTTTCATGAAAGCGCAAAACATGAGCCCGCGCCCGGCGAGGGGGAAGTTGACTTCCATCTACGGTTTTTCGAGCAAAGCTCAAAAATGTACGCTCGCAACAACACCAACTTTTCAGTACTGTTAACCTATCGATTTGACATCCTTTGCGCAAAGTTTAAAGTTTGGTCTGTCGAGGTCATTGACCTAGGCAAGGTCAAGGAGGTAAACTTTTAAAAAGCTTTGACCACGCACAATTTTTGTGCGTTATTTCCCATCGCTCAAACTTGCTATAGTGGTATAACATGACCCTACCCGCAATATGCATATTTCAAGCTTTTCAAAGCTGGCAAGGTCAACGACTTGAGGTGAGCTAAATTTGGACTTTTTCGTAAATATTGCGAACTTGTACGCATTTTTGTGTAGTGTTGGTGCCCGTATATAAGGGCTACTACTAACTCTCATGCGCATCCATCATGTGACCACAGAGCACTTGACAATGGCCTAGGCCATGGCCGACCTTAATGGATGCATTCTGCAAAACGCATGCTGAGCTCAAAAAGGCAGCTTGGAACGTAGGTTTGGACGCCGAATGAGAAAATTGCAATGAAAACATGGTGTAGCATCGTTCTAAAGCATGATGACATCACAAAACGTCGCGTGAGGACGTGCAAGGTCGTATGGGGTCAATGGCCTCTGTTGCCAGTAGCAGAGAGGCTAGGTGAACGAATGAGATGCGTGTAATCACTTCTAGATCGTGTTTATGAGGCTGATGACTCTCTTGTACCGACGTGCGTGTTCTCACTTTGTTACAAACTGTTTGTAGTGCAGTTGTACTTCGTGCCTGCGTCCCTTCTGGGGCGGGGGGTTCGGCGGAGGCGCGCCGC